GGGGCGGGAGGGACGGGCCTGTCCAGATAGGGGCGTGCGGACGATGAGGGACTTGACGGCCCTCCCCCGAGTGAGGGTGGGCGGGGCTGTGGAATAGAGAAGTGAGGGGGCTTGCCAGGTGACAGGTGCTTGTGACATCCCCGTCCCTCCCTTCCAGCCAATCCCCTGCTTTCTAGGGCCAAGTCCTGGGGCAGGTGGGACGTGGAGGCCGAGGTCAGAGGGAGACTGGGGGTGCGGGTGGTATTCCAGAGCTCGAGATTTTTTCCAGAAAATGATTTTTTTCAGATAGTTCCAATAAAAGTGAGAGGAAAGAGTCATTCGGCTCTCTAGAGTAGAAAGGTAATGAAAGGTCTCTAGGCTTGCATAAGTAAATATTTGCCCCAAAAGTCAGAGGCAGAGAGGATTCCCTGTATGGACTTTTATATCCCAGGAGGTTAGATGCAGAACAAGCCGCTCTCCTCTATAGAATGATGGGCAAGGCTGGGGATCTCTGAAGGCTCTTTCAGGCAGGAGTCTGGCTAAGTCTTACCGAATGGAGCTGGGCTCAGCGACTGACCTCAAAGAGCCCTCACTGGGCGCTGTTCTTTGCAAGACATCTGCCCAGTTTAGTGTAGTAAGTTTGTCGCTGAAAATCTCCTGATATCCTTTGTGGGGTAATTCCTAAGGGTGCACCCCTTTTTATTCCAAGGCAAAAATCCTTCATGGTGGTTCCATATTAGGATGATTTTGTAACTTCTCAGATAAAGCTGTATCAACATACCTTAGGTGACATCTTGGCTTAAACATTCCATTGTGTGAATCACCAGGGTGTTTTACACTAATAAGCAGAGCATCTGTGACTTACTGCAATCCCAGAGGGGCCCTCAGAGGCTCCCTTCCAGCCACTGTTGCTGTCTGTGTGGCCTGGAACATCACTGCAGCTTTTGTGTCTTAGCTTTCCCTTTATGGTCCAGAGCTAATCGTAGTAATCTCTGTTGAGTAGGGAGAATTACCTGCACACGCTCTGTAAGCCACAGTCATCTGTGTGTTCTCTGAATTAGACACTGAAGTGCAGCACAGTTGTGGCTCACATTTTTGCTTTTGTTTACCAATCTTAGCTCAAAATCACACCTTATTGATTATTTAAAAATATTAGGCAGTTATAGGAAACTATTGATATTTTGAAAGTGCCTTTCAGTATACCTTGATTTCTGAGAATCTGGTCTAGGGAAAAACTACTGAAGTTGTCATTAACCTTTAGCTAAGAGTGACACAATATGGTAGTTAAAAAGCCCGTGCCCTTGGTTCACATCCTGGCTCTACCACTGACTAGCTGAGTGATCCTGGACAAGTTACTAAACTTCTCTGTGCCTCAGTTTCTTCATCTGTGAACTAGAGATGACAGTGATGATGATAAGGATAATGTCTATCTCGTATTATTGGGAAGATTAAATAAATCGGTTCCTGTACCTTCCTCAGAATAGCACTTGACACATAGTAAGCACTTAGTCTATAAAAATACTGAGCGCCTGCCATGTAATAGACAGTAGAGATTCAGTATAGACTTTTTTGTTCAGCTTCATTCTAGGGGGAAAATGCAGTCAATAACCAAATATATAATGTGTCAGGTAGTAAAAGTGTCAGAAAAAATTGTAAAGCAAGTAATATGGAAGACAAGGAGATAGGAAGTGGGGCATTGGGTGTTCTGGGAGGCCACCTATGGAAAAGTGATGTTTGAGAAGACCCCTAAAGGGAGGGGGGGAGGGAGTCATTTGGAAGTCTGGAAGAATAAGTTGCTGGCAGAGGGAATTACAAGGGCAAAGTCTCCAGGGTGAAGTATGTGAAGAAAGTGTTGGGTGCAGCTGGGGTGCAGCTGGGGTGCAGAGACTGAAGAGATAAATAGTTAGAAATGGAATAGGCCATGTAGACCATGTGAGGATTGACTTTTACTCAGGAGAAATGAGAAGATATTGGACGTTTCTGAGCAAAGAGGTGACATAGTTTGCCTTCTGTTGTAGATGCATTCCTCCGGCCGCTGTGTGCAGTGGCCTTTGAGGGGAGGGTGGTGTGTAGGAGGCAGGACAGAAGCAGGTCTTAGGAGGCTCCTACACCAGTCCAAGTGAAATATCATGGTGGCTTTGACACGGTGGAAGTGGTGAAGATGTGAGAAGCCGTGGGTCCTAGCTGTTGTCATTAGGTAGCTTTGTGAGTTCATATCAACTTCTAAGCCTCAATTTCCTCACTGCAGAATTAAGGGGTTGGTCTCATTCATTATTTTTTCTTAGCTCTTAGAAAGTTCTTCTGGTTTTTGAAAAGCTGTGTAAGTAGCATCTACATTTAAATGGTTTGAGAGTGGGTGCTGCTAAATAAAAATAATCTTGAGCTGAATCTTTTGATAAGTAGTTTTGTGGGGTAAAGAATAACCCTTTGATTTATTTTGTAAGCGGAGCTGAAGATATTTGGATTGCTTGAGAACACAAAGAATAGGAAGGTACTGAACCTGCCCAGAACACTTTAACATGGGAAATTGCCTTTTATTCCAAAAATGCTTGATTCCTTCTCAATCAGTGTATAGAATGGTTCATTATGAATATGGAGAGCAGGGAGAAAGCCTAAGTGAATTTTTGGTCGTAACTTACAGCTGAGCAATGTCAAACTACCCCTTACAAGGAAAAGTCATTAGCAAATTAATGAATTCTAGAACTGAAAAACATTTTTTTAGTTTTACAGTGAATGATAGACAAACTTTGCTCTGTGCTTTGATTACAAGCATTTATTTGTGTCTAAAAAACATTAACCAAGATTGTGACTCTTATGAAATACAACAGTAAAATTTAATGAATTGCATTACTACTGGAAACTACTAAAAAGGTAAAAAAGAAAGGGAGGGGCAATCAAACAGATGATTAGCATCAAAAAAGAAGTATAAAACAGATCTTTGAAGAGAGACTTTGCTAAATGATTTTCCCAGGTGAAAATAGATCCCTTCCCTTTTTCCTTCCCATTTAATATGTTTTATTCAAATATATACATGCAGAATTTCTCCTTTTGGGAGGAGAATACAGCATTGACGTCAATTCAGCATTCATTTTATGAGTATTGCTCTGTGGACCAAAAAGAGATATTTGAAAATGTATGAGTCTTGTCCTTCAGGAGCTTACAGTCACTTTGAGGACCAAGGCAGAGTGTAGTGGTGGATAAGATAATAAGGGCCTCTGACCTGTGGCCTGAGCACTGATGTGGAGTGGGGTTTTACCCCCATTGAAGGATTAAGGCACTTTTTGGAGAAGATGGCATATCTCTTACCACATGTGTAGCAGCAACTTCCACAGTCCCACAAAAGCAAATCTTCAAAGACTGCACTGCAGCTCTGTTCATGGCCCGAATTCTAAACCCATGCCTCAGCCTGGTCTGACAACCAGCTGAACCCAGTTCCCAGTGTGTAGACATGTGTCTTCTTCCCTCATATTCTCAACTGCCTTTTTAGGCCTCTTCTGGGCCCTGATCCCCTAGGCCTGACTTTGACCTTCAGACCACTTATTTTCTATCTATGTATATACACATTGGCTAGAGCAGGGTTTCTCAACCTTAGCACTATTGACATTTTAGGCTGGAAATTCTTTGTGTGAGTGCCTGTCCTGTACATTAGAGGATATTGAGCACTAGATGCCAGGAGCATACCCCCTCCGAGTTGTGACAACTGAAAATGTTGACAAATGGG